TTGTCATGAGTTTCAACATCAACAAGCGCAACTTTCTTCTGGCCAGTGTAGTGAAAAGCGAAAATGAAGAGAAAACCGAAGGGATCCACAAGCTCTGTCAAGTTTTGAGTCATGAGCTATATATACCCTTTGCAAGAACACTCTCCATGGTAATCTTCACACAAAACTAGTAACTAGTCTTTTTAAAGCAAAGCTGCGTTTTTCTGCTGTCCGTATTTTGAGAGCTCCGAACTTTTCAATATTGGTGGGTTAGAGGACGCTGGGCAAAGAGCAAGGACACATGATGTTCCTTTGAGAAAAGCAAAGACATTTGACTCTACTTGGAACATGTCATGGGAAGGAGTTGTTCTGCATTGAGAAGTGAACCAGTGGAGGCCTCTGTATCCTTGGACAACTTTGAGTGCTGGCGTGACTCGTAGCGGTTATTGGGTTATTGTCTTCTGCGTGTGGTTTGCAACATTTGTAAGCTCTCCTGTTGACGGCAAAGGCAAGACCAATGGTGAAGGCCCGCTGTCTTGCCAAGCACTCACTGCTGAGCTTGGCAGCTTGGTGCAAAAGTGATCTGAAAACGACATAAAACGACCAGTAGTAACTGAAAAAGCTACTAGTAGCTTCTTGCTCCTAGTAGTAAGGCCAGGGCCCCTAGTAGCTTCTTGCTCCTAGTAGTAAGGCCAGGAGCCCCTAGTAGCGTCCTTGCTCCTAGTAGCCTAGTAGCGATGCCAGGATCCCCTAGTGGCGTCCTTTGCAGGTTCTTTTTTCTCAGGGAATATCTATTGATTTTGTCAATGCTTTGTGCGCTCGCGCTTCGGGGTGACAAGCCTTTCTGCATCAGAAGCATAGAGAAATAATGAGACATATGGATCATTGAGGACAGTCATCCTAGCGATATTCTCCACAGCTCGAATTTGCGGGGCTAGATGAGCACAAACAAATGGAACCGCAACATGCGATCAGTTCAGCAGGTTTGACCAGTGTGAACGATTTGACAGGAGCGACTGATGCGGTTTGCACGGAAACCTGCAGTTACCTGGAGCCTGGACAATGGCCTTGTGGTCAGGGTGGCCCTTGTGTTTGCAGCGGCAGCACTGCAACTGCAACTACCACCAGTGGCACCACAGCGACTGCTACCACAGTGCCAAGCACCACTGCTACGACCACTGTGATGACTACTGGGACTACAACTACAAGCTGCCAGCCTACACACATGCATGGTTTCATGTAAATGTTGGCAAAATTGGATGGTGTCACGCTTAATCAACTTCAGTTGGCGTTTGATTGAGAATACTCAGTTGTGGGTCAATTTCAGACCTCGATTTTGTTTGCCATATTATGTTCAACATTGAGGGTAGAATTGCTGGGTAGGACTCTGGTGCAATCAGTTGTGTGCTTGCTCCCAGGCCAAAGCACTACAACTACCACCACCACCACCACGAGTACCACCACGAGTACCACACTCGCATCCACAACCCCGCCAGTGTCCACATCCACCCTTTCGTCTCCATCCACTTTGATTGACACAACGGTCCAAGCCCTTCAAAGCTCAAACTCTGATGGCGTGTCTTGACGTTTGAACACTCTTTGCTTTCATGGGAAGAATACTCTTGACCTGGTCTTGCGACGAGCCAACACAACAGCATAGATTTTGAGTTACGCATTCATTTGCAAGCAATGCATTTTCCTGTACTTCACAGACCCATGCCTTGGAACTATCAGCACACGGCACACGATCACCTTTGGCAATGTGTTTATATATCCAGAATTCCCAGACTGCTACCCTTGAATCAGCAAGGTTTTCCTGTATGACACTGGCACTGAATGGCTTCCGTCTGACATCTACACCTGGCCTGACATGATTGAGGCAAGATTGCTTCTGTGATTTTCAGAGAGATCCAGAACATAGTGACATAGTGCTTCGACATTGATGGTGAAAACGACAAAAGAATACAAGAGACATGAGACGACCACAGGAGAGCTAAAAGTCAGCTTTTTGCGTGCAGACCAAGCGGGATTCAATGACTATATAGTAAGTAATGATAATGACTCTTATGAGTTATGGGTGCATCTTGATGTCTTGATGCAGATGCCACTCACAGATGGCCCAGTGAGATCTGATGGGGTTTCATGCCTCAGGCTGTAAAGCTCATGGCCAGCACTGGAGTTGGGCAACTGAAGCTTTGGCTTGGCGACACGGACCACGCCCCTTCCTTAGGGTTTGAGTCGATTTGGGACGTTTCGGGAGTGCCTTCGAGGCCGTGACGGGCATCTCGCAAAACACTCAAAAACATGTAATTACTTGAATGTGTTTGAATTCTTTATAGTTTTATTCATGATTGCACCTGGTCCCACAATTACTAATTAGTTCAATTCATCTTCCAGACTTCATGAACCGCCTCCACACAGAAGTCCCCCAAAGGGGCCACTTCCCGAACGAAAGCAACAAGTTTGTAAACAGCTTCATCGAACCAAATGGGAACAATTCTCAAGGCCGTCCGAATCAACCTCGGACTTATCAAAAAGTCGGGCAAGAGCGTCGCATCATTGCTGGATCATATATTGCTTTCAGATTGTATTTTGCCAAGTATCATCAGCATCCTTGCCAATGCTCCCACCATAAGAAGAGGAGTGGTACGATAGGAAACAATGCGCGCATCAACTGCAGGTCCACCGTTTATGACCAATAAGGGCGAAAGTGGTTGGTGCCTCCCTTGTGCAACACGTATAAAAAATTAACCTGAGCAAAAACCATTCCCCTTATTGTCGGGAAAGTAGGTTTGTTTGGCTCAGCCTGACGTTCGACGACGCCAGTAGCTCCATTTTGCATCAACACTTGATGTCCAAAATCTAGCGATGTGTGTGTTATAGAGTTATAGTCAGTTATAGAGTCCAAATTGATTGGTTCCACAATTACTCGAATGCGAGGTCTATGGCCTGGTGAATGTCGCAGCCTTCTTGGCACAATGCATGCAGGTGCCGCGGGGTCTTCCCATTTCAGCAGTTGATTTTTGGCACACCTTCATTTAAGGGTGGGTGCAGGCCGCATCAGACATAGATGACAGATGTTGATGGAGTGTTTTCATGTATGTGCCTATGCATAATTCATGCCTCTAAGAGAAATGGTTTAGTATATATCATATTGTATTATATATTTCTATATTGTACATAGTATTCTATACTCTATTGGAGTATATTTCTCGCAAACCAGCCTGTGTCAGGCTTCTGCTTCCAACCTTTGAGTCCAGCGCACTATCTTCTAATTACTCCAGTGCATCCTTCCTTTGTCAGGAAAAATTGAATCACATTTGTACTTGTATGACTCGCATGAGAGTTTATCATCCGAGCTGCATGTACACTTTTATTGGGAGGGCGATTGACAGTCTATACAGTAATACATCTATTGTTGTGTGAGGAGACGATTCAGTACAACGCATGCGATGAGAGACTTGGCTGCATCAAGTCTTGCATCTAGGTTGCGGAGTTAACTAACAGTCGAATCATGTCGAATCTACAAATCAGCACTCAAGTACTCAGCTCCGCAGCTCTTCTTCTGATTTATATAGTGCTACTGTGACCTACGACGTCCTACTAGATTCCACTGTGGTTCTCAATGTATTCTCAACGTATTTTGTTGCGGCCTGTTGGGTCCATTTGTGGTAAACTATTGAAGGGCATAGTTTGTGCACCTCACGAATGAAAGGTAGCAGCACGGCCTACAATTGGTTGGCAATTCAGCACGGCCTCACCAGCGCCTCGAGGAACAATTGGAGCGACAACAATGTTGTCCAAGAAGCTGGTGGCTCCACATATTCTTCAACCTCTGCTTGTGGTCAGTTGCACCAATCTTACCAGGAAAACAGCAGGTGTTGAACGTGTTGAAGTAGAATTGAGTCGCACAACGTCACCGTGACTTGTTTGAGACAGTGACAGTGTTTCTGGATTTGCCTGGTGAAATGAGGCTTGTCTTAATTTTCAGTCTTGGTCGTTGGTTCAGTTGCTGTCCGCTGCTATCCTTCCGTCAGGATTACAGCTGCTCTGCAGAGGAGGATGCCCTAGCAGGAGGCCGAAGCTTGGTGACAGCCAGCGTCTTCGGCACGAGTGCGGGCGCTTGTGCACGATGACTTGGTCCAGTTTCGCCATAATGCCTTCCGACGAATCGGCCGGAGTGATTTACAGAGTAGAGTGACCGAAGATGTCATGAATGCGACGTGAGTTGTCCCCAGGAATGGCTTGTGAAGTGGACCCCTCCATGGAGATGCGTGCCTTCACTCAGGCGTAAGGGAACAGGCTGAAGCTAGGGTGGGTGGTCTAATTTGGCATTTTTGATCTGTGGACGCACGAGTAACTTCCTGATTGAGTCCTGACTCGCTTTAGCAGTTGTGCTCATAATATCTCTTGAGACTCGTGCTTCAATGTACTTGTACTGGTAGTGTCCCTAGTCTATGTGTTGTTGGCCGCACGTTCAAGGCTCGATCTTTCCTTTCCGCCTTTGTTTGTATTGCAGCCAATCTGGGATTGACCCGATGAATGCAAAAGCTCCCAACACCTTAGAGATAGCATTGACGCGTGGCGGGCGGGAGCGGGGAAACCTGTTGAAAGTTGGCCCCTATTTCTTGACAGTGACTCCATCTTACAGCATTTGAGGTCAAGTTTATACAGTATTTTGACCATGTTCAAGACTCCTGGCTTCAAAGCTCCAAATCCAGATTTAATCCGCCGCTTTCGGCTCACAAGTTCTCCACTCTACTTAGAGTGGATGCAGCTTTGCAGAAAGCGCTGCATTGTCGCTCACTTCATGCTTTATGTTGGATGGTATCACGGCACGTCTAAAGCGCTAGACTAGGCCTTGTTTTGTTCTTAAGAAGCCACGAGACATGTCCAATCTCATAGGCCAGCTACACTGCATTGTAAGTTGTAAGGCCCAAGAATTCTGGAAGCAGCAAGTCAACACTTTGCAGTGCATTTCAAACTAATGGAACCTCCGGCAGGCTTTCCCATCTTGCGCCATGCAGCGGGGTGTGACAGACTATCCCTTTCGGAAGAAAAGTGAGGACCAGCTGTCAACCAACCAGCCGCCGTTCCTACGGAGTGAGAGCGAACCTTCGTGCCGCACAGCACCTTCACATGTGACCGCCGAAATCATGGGCACCTAGGTTTGGTTTGGTTTACGACCGTTTATGTAGACCCTTAATGTAGGCATATGTAGGCTTTGTTGATAGAAAAACATGTTACAGTTTTGCTGGGCCCTAGTTAAGTTGGTAAGATCCAATATCACATCAGATTTGTAGAAAGCTCTGGGTGTGGACCTGTGCAGCAGGTTCACACAATTTACAACTTGCTTGTCTGAAGGGAACTCAAGAAGACTACCCTGATTTTGGACCTGAAGGCTTGAACGAGCCTCAAGCAGATTTGTTTTTCATGATTTTTCATCCGATCTTGAGGTATGGATCACAATGTTGTGGCCAATTTTCAAGCTCTCCAAGATTATAAACCAAACAAGCAGCTCAAACGAATCGCGTTGAATGTTGCTTTGTGCATCGATGCTCCGGCTTCGCGTTCAGCAGGCTATTTTTAATGTTTTACCTTATTTTTTTTCGTCAGTATTCTTCACCTCACGCCTGAGGGCGGGGGCTTCCTCGAACTGTTCACGGGACTGGTCTAGTTCCAGCAAATGCCTACACAGCCTAATTAGTGCTTGGGATTGATGTTGCTAGAAGATTCAAGTATCCTGACAATCCAATTGGGCCCTTTTACTCTATTCTGAGTTCTTCATAAACTGGCTTCACTCGGTTTCACAAAACATGGAGCGAGACCCTTCAAACAAACAAGTGACGAGATCTTGTCAATGCCCAATTCAATTGCACTAGACCAAGTTTTCCTCACTGGGTTACGGGTTGAGAAAGGTCAACTGCATCAAGGCATGAATGAGAGCGTTCATGACGTTTCTATTCCACCTATATTATAACAATTGATTATACATGTTGGATATACATATATATATACATATTTTAATATAGAATGTAGTTGGATCCATGCATGACCAGAATCCATGTAGGTCTAGAACACCCAAACAAAGTGAGGGGTGGGCCGGCTGCTATTTATCACAAATCCTCTAACAACAAATGCAAGCTTGGAGCCCCGGTCAGAGTTTATTCAGATTCTTAGCAGCCCAACAGCCCTTTGTGTCAGGTGAATATTCTGGCTGGCTGCTTGGTGCCAGCTATTGCTGACAAATCCCGGACGGCCACACTTTATGAAAGCAGCTTCTTGGCTGAGTTTCATCCAAAGAGAGGCCTCAGACAATTCAGCTTGCTATCGGCCCGAGACACACCATTCATTTGAGGAGATGGTGAGCTCGTGGTAACAGGAAAGAGATTTCCCTATGATCCTGCTACAGTGGTCGCGGCTGAATCCCTAGCCTCTTGGACAAAAGATCGACGTGCAAGATGTGATGATAACCATAAGCAATGTTAGCAATGCTTATAAACGTATGATTTTGGTTAACCATACAATGGAATGCAAGGCATATTCCCACATTATTTGACTTTTGCAACCCTACGCACAACAACTTTCGTAGAGTCTTTGCGGGTGAAGAGTACTGCATCTAAAGTTCACCAGTCATCCAAGTTTAGTTTGCCTTTTGGTCCTAAATGACTCCAGACTTTACTGCGTTTCCACTGAGAGTATGTTTGTATCTTTGATACACTTCAACCCAACAGCTTTTGTTGTTTTTTTTGTTTGGATCCTAACTATAAAGGGAAGACGGGAGGGATAATTACCAGTGTTCAGAAACCTGACCATACTGATGATATATATATATCTATATCTATTACTGACTGTATATAAGTGTATATGTAATCGTAATTATATATACAGTATATGTGTGGCACGTTTCTGTGTTCAACTATGTGCGTGTTCAACTGTGCGAGCTTGCAGGATTGAACAAAATCAGCCCGGGGATTCATGTTGCAATCTCACTCAATTCAGAATTGGCAAATGATTGCTACTTGTACTTAGGTGACGGCGACGTTTATGTCTGTTTTGTGGGAAGGATTTTTGAGCGGTTCTAATTTCATTCAGGGTTGTTGCACCAGGCCAACGTCCTCATTGGAATGATCGCCATGGGGAAGCAAAAGCAACAAGCTCCGCTTTTGGACGTTCAAGAGCACAAAGAATACATAGAGCTCACATTGATGCTTGGCTGCAAAGTTGATTTCCTCAAGGAAATGGAGAAATGTTTATGTCGCACATCTTATTCGGCGAAGGACGTATTGCCTTGGAGACCTTGCCGCCTTGCAAGCAATTGGCTGTGGAGGTGGCATTCTTTATCTGACGGTTGGAAATTCGCGATTGCTGTTTGCCGCGCTGGCATCCAAGATCATTCTGAACCTTCTGCTTGGCGTCGTTTTTTTCCTCTCACATTAAAATGGGTTCCTCTGAGTTCCTCTCTACAATTTTTGCTGCCATGAAACATCGATAGGTGGCTTTGTTGTGCCAATCATTGTGTTTTGCTCTCTAGCATGTTCAAGACAGCAACTCTTCTCTATTGCTGGTCGAGCATTCTTCAAATAAGGAAACAGGAGTTGGAAACCTGTCAATGCATACTTTTGGCGTTCATGACTGCCTGCATTGTCCCTTGGAGGAGAAAGTACTTGATGGGACATTTACATACATGGATCTTTAATCTACAATGCATACATGATACATTCGGGTCCTTAGGAATTGGACAAGCGATATTGTACCACATCCAGCTTTTGAACGACTCTTTGAGACAGTATAACTACACAGTGTTGGATTGACGAGTAAGTGTCAGGCCTTTCCTCTTTACAAGATCTTGGCAAATCATGCAACATATGTTCTGGTCATTCTGAACTGCTATGCTGGAAGCAAAGCCACTCATGCACTGTCAGGAAAAAATAGGATCCAACAAAGACACACAGTTGCTGTACATGTTGCTCAAGTTGCAAGCAACAACTGGCCTGGATATGGGATATTCAGCCTGCTCATTTGCCAAGGTGGCCTTTGCTGAAGCACAGGCGTCCGGCTACGATTCAAACCGTTCTGGCATGTTTGCGGGTTTGTTTTTAGTCCTGCTGAAATCATTGCTTTCTGCCTTGGCAGCAGTGTTGACAGAGTCGCGCTACAAGACGAGGACATCTTCAGTTGATTTTGAATTCATTGTTACATGTTAAGCGCGCTGTTACAATTTTCCGTGTTTTGTTTGGGTTGGATTAGGTAGGATTAGATTCTAGCGGCAACGAATGGTTAAACCCAGTGGCCGCCAGTGGCCAAACCCGGTGAGGAATGTTTGGGAAGCAAATACAATGTTGAAGACGCAGAGCTTCCTCTTGGCACTGGTCATTTGGGCTCTTACAAGCCTTCTAGATAAGCGGGAGGCTCTGCAGGTTTGCCCACGCTTTGAAGGTTTGCCGCCATCTGTAGAGACCCCATGCGTCGATTACAGAGGATGGGATCGTTGGACCTTTGCTGTCCTGGTGGCAGAGGTTGGCAATGGGTGGATCTCGGTGGCCATCTTGAAGAATTTGTCGGCAATCGCCAAGTTTGTATGCAAAGGTCTGTCTGCGCCAAGTTTGTACGTGTCCTATTGCTTGATGGGAAGGAACCAGTTCAAGCTAGCACTATTTCTGCCCATCTTGGGCCTGACGGTCTCAATTGTATTTTATGCCAAAGAGACCCTAAAGGTCATTTACCAAGTTTACTTGCCCACATGGGTACCTGAATACCGGCCCACATTTGTGCCGCACGGCACCAGCAATTGAATCGAAAAAAAAGAGCTGCTGTGGGCATCCTACGCAGTGTATGATGTGTACGTATCCACATACTATCTATTATGTCTGAATCCACATGACCGTCACTCACTCAGACATGTACACTCATGACCGCAATGCCGGCTTTACTCTCGAGACCCCATTTTGAGGTTGAAATAGGTGCGCCCGTGCCGTTTCATGGTAGCGGAGCGCTGGCCGTACTGAGCCGCGCTTCCGCATACGACACGCACCACGAGCACTACGATCACCACGACATCCTCAACGAGGAGCAGACGAGCCAGGCCTTCAGCGACTGGCACGTGGTTGGTGGAACTCATCGTGCTCGCTGGGCTAGCAGGCGGTGTCGGTACCACAGCGATCCAGGAGATCAACTACTTCCAAGCGAACCGTGTGATCCCAAAAGCTGGAAAGCTCAAGAGGAGGCAATTCCACACGGTCGCCTTCGAGACTGCTGAGTACCTCACTAGAGTTCGGTGGGTGAAGAGCGACAAGCAGCCAGAGCCTCGATTGTCTTCCAGAAGAGAAGAAACGGAAGGTTGAGCGCCGACTTGAAGGAAATATTGGTGGTAGTTCCATCGAAGTGGAAGTTCATCTCAAAGATCGAGAGCTTGAGGCAAGAGACACCCCAGGAGAAGATTTGTGAGCTTTTGTCGAATTGGTGTTTCTGGGAGTTGCTGGTCTATAGTGGACTGGAGTTCAGCCCGGAGGAGAGCATTGAACCCTCTTGCACCACAAAGTCGTACTATCCAAAGATTTGGACAATCGGTCCAATGGCTGAGGAGAGCTTGAGGCTGGTTGCAAACGCACTGGAGCGGCTGACGGTCAATCAGACCACACAGGCTGGGCACGACATCTCAAACCTCCTGATGTGTTTAAGCCGGATTCACGTGACAATGAGCTGAAGTTGTGGGGTGATTGGAAGTTTGCATTTCTCAACTACATCAAGGGGATCGACCCCACCATGGCGAATGACATGGACCAGGTTGAGAGGGACCTTGACGCCAGTTATGAGCTGGATGACATGACAGATGAAACGAAAGGAAGATCGGTTCGGCTATACAGTTTGCTGACATCTTATTTGCGGCAAAGGCCATTGAAGCTGATCAGGCACGTCAGGAGAGAGAATGGCTTTGCAGCTTGGCAGATCCTATTGCGGGAGCTTCAACCTGCGACAAGAGCTAGGTCCTTGGCCTTGTTGAGCCAACTCTCAAGAGTGCAGTTTGCTGAAGGGAAGACGGTGGCAGAGCAGCTACCGCAGTATGAGTCCCTCATCAACGAGTATGAGCGCATCTCAGGTCACGCCTACAGCGATGATGCAAAGGTGGCTGCAGTGCTATTGGCATGTCCGATGCAAATCAGACAGCACTTGCACTTGTGGATCACGAACACCACAACGTATGAGCAGTTGAAAGACAGGATCATTCAGCTGGAAGCAATTTCGACAAGATGGGGCAGCTCCAATTCCTTGATGTTGCCCACTCGTGCTGCAAGTGATGAGGCCACACCCATGGAAGTTGACTACATCGGCAAGGCATGGGACAAAGGTGGCAAGAAAGGCGGCAAGTTTAGAGGCAAGGATGCCAAAGGGAAGAACAAGGGCAAAGAGAAAGGAAAGCAGAAAGATGGCAAAGGAGCATGGAGACCTGAGAAAGGAAAGACGCTATGGGAGAAAGGACCTGGAAAGAAAGGCAAAGCGAATGACAAGGGAAGTAAAGGTGGCAAGAACAACAAGTGCCACAACTGCGGCATCCCTGGACACTTTGCCAAGGACTGTTGGAAGAGAGTGAACCAGGTAGAGGACCAACAGCAAAATCCAGGTGGAGCAAGTTCTTCGTCGACGGGAGGTCAAACAACAGCTCAGAGTTCGGCAACAGCCAATACAGCCAATGTCAAGATGGTTCGATTGGAAACTCCTCCAGACACCCCATCTATGGAAGTGTTCGACTTGACCACTCCAAGAGATGACAGGAGTGGATACCCTTGGAGAGTCGGGATGATTTGGTGCGATCACCAGGTCGATGGCTATGAGGTCACCGATGACGAGTACATGGACTGCTATGAGCCCATGGTGGATGTGCCACTCGGAGTGAGCATCGTGGCACTAGACCTGCAGGACAGCGAAGAGGAAGAACTGCAGGTAAACATGGTGAAGATTGAGGAGGATGAGGCAGACCAATGTCTAGTGACTCTGGACAGTGGAGCTGACGTGTCAGTACTTCCTCGCAGCTATGCGGCCGTGGGCCAACGACAACAAGAGTCCACGGAACTCAAGATGGTGGACGCCCAAGGGAGGAAGATCGCCCATGATGGTGTGACAAAGGCCCGCATCCGCATCGAAGACAAGAATGGCAAGATCTTCGACTTGCTTGAAGACTTCGTACTTGGGAATGTCCAACATCCAATATTATGTGGGAAAGTTGCTGCGCAGAGGTTGGAGCTTGCAGAAAGCTGATGGAGGACCGCTGGAACTGAGGCATGAAGAGAAAGGCATTGAAGTGCCAGTGAACACAGAGCGCAATTCATTGCAACTGGCAGCTAGGATCTTTACAGTGACAGGAATTTCGACCACTACGAGCCCAATGCGATCCACTTCCCCTACTGCCAGGATCTTTGCGCTGACTGGATTTGTGAGTAAGTATGTTCAAGAGCTTGAGATGGCTCCAGGCTGGCACAGGCTACCCAATGCAGTAGTTGTCTACAGTGACCCCATTGCTCTTCGCCTCGCAGATCCCAAGGACAGCATTGAAAAGGCCTACAAGTCGAGGATGACCTTAGTGAAGCAGAAGAACGGCCAATGGGCACAACTGGAGAAGGTTGATGACATCAATGCTGGTGGATCCGAGATGTTCCGGAAGATCGGCATCAATGACGAGCCACAAAGGACGTTGAGTTTCTTTGCACCAAGCAGGTTCAAAGACTACTGGGAGCATGATTCAGAGGTTCCTATTTCTCCATTTCCTGAGCCTGAGGATGTGATTCAAACTGTTGAATGGTCCGAAGATGATGCGGAGGAGATCGAAGACATGGAGCAACAGGCGGAAAATCAAGACATCGAGAAGCTTGTCATAGCAAAGCATCCTCATGAGGTGGAATTGGATGAAACAATGTTCCATGAGGTGGAATTGGATGAAACAATGTTCTCAGAGAAGACTTCAGTGAAAGACCTTCAGGTGGCATGCAAGGAGAGAAACCTGCCGTACACAGGAAGCAAGAAGAGACTCCTTGAGCGGTTGATGAGCTTCAAGATCAACATTGAGACACAGATGCAATTGTCCATTGCAAACAAGATCTACAAGGAGCAGCAGAGGATTCCAGTGACCATTGGACAACCGAAGCTTCCAAGTTTTTCAGAGCAAGAGAGACACTTCATCACGCACATGCCCTACGCTGGATGGTGCCAGGCTTGCGTGGCAAGTCGGGCGAAGGAGGACAAGCACGTAAACAGAGAAGAGCAGGAAGGCCAGGGCAAGAACCTGATCCAGATGGATTTCTGCTACACATACACTGGAGAGGACCAACGAGGTGATGAGCCCACGTTGGGAAAGGTCCAAGAAAGGCAAGACCAATTTGGCACGTGCTTGATCCTGACAAGGCAAGCCTCAAGACGATTACGGAGGAAGTTGTCCGTTTTGCCCTCGAGAACTCAGCGTATGACCCTGTGATCTTTCAGGCTGACCCAGAGAGAGCCACACGCCAAATCCTGAGATCCGTGCAGCAAGTTCGAAGCGTGATGGGTTTGAAGACAGAAATTCGGATGACGGGAACTGGGCAGCATGCATCAAATGGACAGGTGGAGCGAGCAGTTCAGACAGTGAGGAAGCTAGCTAACTGCCTGAGGACTTTTGCAGAAGATCGAGCTCGCATGAGGATCTTGGGTTCATTTCACCTGTATCCATGGAGCTTCAGGTATGCCTCGTTACCTCGTTTCTGCTCAACAGATTCAGGGTCTTGGACAAGTGCAACAAGACAAGTTTCGAGCTAGCAACAGGCCATGGATATCACGGCAAACTTGCTTTGTTCGGTGAAAGCGTTCTCTTCAAGAAGATGGTGAAGTGCAAGGGAACAACGTGTTCGAGAGGGGCATTTGGGTCGGAAAGCGCCCATGGAATGACAGTCACGTGGTCCTGACTCCTGACGGAGCATTTGAGGCACGCACAATCCGCAGATTGGCAGCTGGTGAGAACTTCATTGCCACGGACATGGTGATAGCAAAAGGCCTTCCATGGTCTTATTCTCCTCAGGGAATTCTCATGAGGCATGCTGGTGACACACAGAGGACGAGAATCCCGACCTTAGAAATTGAAGCAGAGGAGAATGATATGAAGGAGATTGCACACGACGTGGCATCTGGTCTGATTGGACCTACACCTGGTTTGAGGACACCAGCACCAAGGACGCCAGGAGTCGGACAAGTGGCCCCTGGAACACCAGCGCCGGGTACCCCGGCACCTCAAATTCCACAAGTTGGAGTGAAGAGGACTTTGGAAGAAGGTGAAGATGAACAAGATGCAAAGAGAGTTGATGACAGTACTTCACCGAGAAGGGCGCATGAGAAAAGGGAGGCGCATGAGGAGAGTGAGGAGCAGGAGAAGAAGCAGAAGTTGGATGACTCCTCAACTGATGTGCGAATGCCAGAAAGCTCACGCGGATCGCCCTCCAACAAGGAACACCTATATCCACCAGGGTATGCAGGTGTCAATGCAGTGAACATGGAGGTCCACGGAGATGACGAGGTGGAGTGGAACCTCATCCCTGGTGAAGTTGAAGAGGAATTCTTCTACGGGGGCGAAGAAGATGATGATCCGCCAGTGGTGACAGAAGAAAGACTGGCAGAATTGGACAGGCAAGCCAGAGAGAAGGAAATCCAGAGGATGATGGAAATGCCTGCCATGGTTGAGACTGATGAGGACGAGGTCACGAAGACCGAAGGCTACATCATTTCCACGAAGCAGGTCTACTGCTGGAAACATCGTTTGGAGATGGGAGGATGG